TTAAAACAAATCCCATTTTTACAGGCAAGCTATATATAGCTTCTTGATATATTCTAATGGAAATAAAGTATCTGAATTTCTGTTACACATTTGATTGTCATTGAGTGTTTAATATTAAATAGATTTCTTTCCACATAAGTGTGTTCTAGTTTATTCTTCTCTGTTCCCTGTCCTCTGATTAGGAGAAGTTAAGTATTTTCTCAGCACTATTCAAAGGAATATTTTTTTAAAGATCTTACATAAAATCATTCCTCCTTATGAACAAAAATTACAATTAACAGTCATTAATTAAAAATGGAAAAGTAAAATTATATACCAATAAAGGAGAATATTTGTAGTTCAGGGTTGAAATGTGGGGTTCTTGGTGTTTCTGAGCTTGATTATTTTCTTGCAGACATTTCATTACCCAAATTAGGTAACCTCATCAGTGCAAATGATGATGAATGAAATGTCCAACAAAACAACCAAGCTCAGAGAGCACTAAGGACACCTCAGTATTTTATACACACTTTCTAGAGTAGTCCTTAGCCTATAAAGGTGTGGCTTCAAGGTTCTTTTTCTTAAATAAGCAGAACAACCACTAATGGACCATGAATAGGTTTCTCTAACTAATCTTTCTTAACACCCATGTTGGTGGAAGGCAATATTTATAATCTAGGTTCTAAATTGTTAGAGACTTTGTGAATACATGTTAATACATTAAATAGGAAATTATGCAATAGATTGACCTGTGTATTGTTGATGAAAGTTCAACAAAAAGAGGTTACATGTGGAAGCATATTTCTTAAACTATTCTAAAGACCATGCTTATCGTACACAAGAGTAACATGTCAATAATGCCTACGGACACATTCAGAACACATCATTGTTGAATGTTTGTGTGTTTTATCTTGTAATCTGCTTAGAGTCACCTTGACTTGCAAGATGGGTGGCAAATTAATTTGATAAAAGAAAATTCACACAAATTATAGCTGTTCCAGCATCAGTAGCTTCAGACTGTATTTCCCAGAAACCTGTAGGTTGTGTGACACAGGAGAAGATAAGGGGTGTACCACTCCTTTCCCACTTCCCTCTGGCCCCTGCGCCCATTTGGCTGGTAGCGAAGGCACAATAGGTGAACATAATTGGCTGCTGTGGAACCAAGGCCCCTTGTGTTCTCGATCCATGTCCGTCCTGGCTAGACCTCCCAGAAGGTAACATGGTTGGATCCAAGCAGTGTTTAATGCCTGTGCAGGAGGGGATGGTACTGCCTGCCCTGAAGAAGGCAGTGGTCCCCTTCTCAAGTGGCCATTTTTGGACCCCACAATATTGGGCAACTTTCATCTAGTCTCCAATCTTCCCTTTTTACAGGTTATTGAGAGGGTGTTAGCACGTAGCTACAGAGGACTCTGGATGAAGTGGATTATCTGGACTCTTCAGTCCAGATTCAGGCTAGGGCAGAACACCAACCACATTGGTCACACTTGATGACCTTTGGAGGGCTTGAGGTAATAGTATAACTATTCCGGCCCTCCTGAACCTGTCAGGCTTTTGATATCATTGACTACCCTGTTTCCCCCAAAATAAGACATCCCCTGATAATAAGCCCAATCGGGCTTTTGAGCGCATGGCAATAAGGCCAAGCGCTTATTTCAGGGTTCAGAAAAATATAAGACAGGGTCTTATTTTCGGGGAAACACAGTATGATATTAATTTGGACTGGCTTTGGGGGTTGGTTGTAGGAGGCACTGGTTTACAGTGGTTCTTATCTGCAGTGTGGGATGCCTCAGGGCTCAATCCTCTCATTGCTCCTTTTTAACATCTACATCAGGCCGGATCCAGCCCGTGATGTGGTCTGCAGAGCCACCCTGGAAACAGCAAAGGACCGGCCAGTGGTGCCTTGGACTGGCCCAGGCCAACCAGGTGCTGATCTACAACCCAGTGGTAACCATCCAGGCCGAACGCAGTCAACCTTAGATCCGTGGGGCCTCTGGAGCCAGTGAGGGGCCGACCCACTCCCTAGGTGCACAGACAGGAGGCAGTGAGGGCATGTGGGACCTGGTGTCCCTGGGGATCGTCTTCTCCCACAGGCTGGCTGCATTTTGAGTGCCTCCCTTTCACCCAGGACGCCAACCCATGTGTGCTCACCGCCTCCTATGTGTATGCACAGGGCAGAGCCAAGGCAGCTGGGCAGTCCCTCGCTGGCTCCAGAGCAGTCTTGTGGGTCATACCTAAGGTCGGGCACGGGAGCCAATGCCATCCTTGGCTGGGGTGCGCTGCTTGCTCCGGCGTGCAGGTCTTCCTGTTTGAGTGCAGGAACGAAGCCTTCAAGTGACCGAGGAGGCACCACAGGGCCAGGCTGCTCACATCCGTGTCCAGTTCACCAGAGAAGGAATGAGACCCCATTATCCCATGGAGCCTACCTGAATTCAAATGAGGCATTTGCGAGCAAATGGGCACAGGCAAGCAAACAGCGCACCTGGGCCACAGATGGCATTGGGTCCTGCCCCTGGCGTTGGTTCCTGTCCCCGGCCTATTCTGATTCCATGATGGCCTTCCTGTTTTAGTGCAGGAATAAAACCTTCAACTGAGTGAGGAGACACTGCGGGGCCAGGCCCCTCACATCCACATCCAGCCCACTAGAGCTTGCCGTGCCAGGGGAGGAATGAGAAACCCCGTTGTCCTGCAGAGCCCATCGCTGCTTGAGAGGGGGAGAGGAGGAAGAGAGGAGCAGCAAGGCTTTGCACCAGCTGGCCTGGAAGGTGGGGCTGGCTGGGAAATGGGGAATCATGGCTGCTCAGGTGGCTCCCGCTGCTGCCGCCAGTAGCTTGGGTGCCCTGGCTGTGTCCGATCTGAAGAAAGCAGAGGCACAGCAGCAGGATTGCCTTCAAAAGATCAGTTTTCAAGCACCCATTTGCACAGAGACATCCCATTTGAATGCTGGCGGACTCCATGGGACAACAGGGTCTCATTCCTACCTTGGCGCAGTGAACTCTGGCAGGCTGGATGCGGGTATGAACGGCCTGGCCCCGCGATGCCTCCTCACTCAAAGGCTTCGTTCCTCCACTCAAACAGTAAGGTCTGCGCACATGAGCGAGCAGCACACCCGGGCCACTGACGTTGGTTCCTGCGCCTGGCCAATTCCAAAACAACCTTCCCAGCTCCAGCCACGGGATGGGGTAGAAGAAGCTCCATACGCAGCAAATTTTAGTGGGCAGAGAGCATCTCTGCCACAGCAGCGGCGAAAAGGAGTTGGGAGGGGCAGGAGACAGGCACTGCAAACACTTTTCGTGCTGAGAATGAAAGTTTCTGGGTCCCTGATTCTCTGCAAAAGATGGGTGCTTGGACCCACAAGATGATATGGCACCCAGGAGCATCCATTCTCAGCGCAAAAAGCCAACTCTATTCTCCCTCCCTCAAAGGCAAAGAAACTGGCAGAAAAGAGACAGATCTTTGCAAGATAAGTGAGTCCAGTGTGGCAGGAAGGGAGAATGAGGTATCTCGGTGGGTCGGGAAGGCCTTGAGGGCCTGTCCATCACTACCCTCCCCCACACCTTCCCCATCCTGAGATATCTCTCGTGCACTTAATAAAAGGCACATTAGATTAGCATTCATGTGTACATTGGTATTCTTGAATTGTGAGCTCTTAGGAAAGTATCCCCTCCTTGTAAGTTGCAAACAGCCATTTCCAGTGAGGAAAACAGGACAGAGCAGAGTGGGAGGAAAAGTTTTTCCTTTGCTATATTTCCAATCTGAATTAGACCATGGCAGAGCGTTTTTAAGGATTATGTATTAATAGAAAAGCAACTAAATGCTAAAGCTGTTGCACATAAAAAACAGGAACTTTGAACAACTATCACAGCCACCATTTTGACAGTTTTGCTGTACTGTTGTCTGTGGACGCCCCCACTAAATGCAAGCATGGGATAAACAGCCTGGTTTGTTCTCAGTTCTGTTAAGTGGCCACAAACTACTAGCAAAAGTGGCATTTGATCAGAAGGCAAGGAGGCATCGAGAAATGTTTCTCCTTTTGCATTTGAGCATCCAAGAAGGGTCAGGAAAGGAAAAGGAAAGACAAAAAGAAGGAATGGAAAAAGAAGGGGAAAAGGAGGGAGATTATAATGAAAGGGAGGGAGGGTCTGAGGAAAGTTCTGCCTTAGCACTTGGCCACCAGCAACCCTGTTGCCCTTTCACCATCCCCTTGTCCCCTCCTCCTGATCTCTCCTGGTGGTCTCCCATCCTATCAATGAGGATGCATTGGTTACAAAGCTGGGTCTCCTCACAAGGAGAGGTAGTGGGCCTCCCTCTGACCCACAAACTTTGCCTCCCACACACCATGAGCAACTTGGCCAACGAGAGCGAGCACAGCAGTAGCCTTGAGGAGGTAAGTGTAGCCAGGGCCCCCTTGGGGAAGCTGGGCTGGGCTGGACTGTGGGGTCCCAGTGCCCTGAGAGCTTGAAGGCCGACTGGGCGCTTACCCTCTGCTGCCTGGGCAGCCTGCATAGCCATCCAGGGGTCCTCCACATGGCCTGAGGGGGATGGCGAGGCTCCTCTGGTGTACAAGGGTTTGATGCTCACCCTAGTCTCACTTTTCCTACACTGGGGACAATGATCTCCTCCCCACTCCCACCATCCCTGCCCAGGCCACCACAGGTGTCCCCTGACACGCAATATCAACCTGGCCATGCTCCCCAGTCCCCCCCCCCCAGGTCAACCACAACCCTGATGTGGCCCTCAATGAAATCGAGTTTGACACCCCTGATCTACATGAAACCACTAGGGGAGGTATGGACTATGTATCATTGGTATGCATTTTTGCATTTTGGTGCAAAAAAATTGTCCTGTAATTCATTTGTTTGGTATTGGGTGCACAAACTAGAACTTGTTGGTGTTGGCTGCCTCATGACTCACTACTATTTCCAGCCGAAACAAAGGATGACACGTTAGTCACATGGTTTATTTGATACTTATTTTTAGTACTCTTCACACCTCCCGGAACCAAGTAATGATGACTACTAGAGTACCACTGTATAACAGATTTAATTTATGCCAACAGGATCAGAGTAATTGTCTAAGGGAACAAGAACCTGCTAATGAAAGAGCTGTGATCATTTTAGTCAGGATTTTTTGGTTTGCATATGGAGAAGTAGTTATGACAGATTTCTGGTGTGCTTACACTGATTAGGAATTTAGTGTTAACTCCAACAATATTAAGTACAAACACAAAGTACTGCATCTTAACTGAAAATATATAAAACTTTAAAAATTAGCTTTAATAGCTTAAAATAGAATATTGACTATCCTTCCTGTAAATCCTAAACTTCAATATATCAGGTTGGCTGCCTTGATGTTGTAGCAAGTTTTTTCTATCAGTGTTGTTACTGCAGCATTTCTGAGAGAAGATGTGATGCTTCTCGCTAAAACTAGCTCCAGCTCTTGAAAATTCTGAAGCCTGGCCACATCTTCATCCTTGGAGGAGAAAGGAAGTAATATTTTTTAAAATAATTAAAGCAGCTTCAAACTGTGAAACCTAATAATAAAATAGGTAATAGAGACTGCATTAAGATGATGGATTACTTTAATACTACCTTAAGAATCCCAGTTAATGAAAAATGTTCTTTTAAGCTTCAGGAACTGTTCAAGCATTCCATATTTATTATACTAATCCATATTACAGACTAAACCCAAAGAACTTTTATGAAGCTCCCTTTCCATCACGTCCCTGGAACTAGTATATATTTAGTGTGAAGAGGGATACAAAATTCTCTCATCTGAATGTACTTAAGCTCAATGAAATATCCCAATTACCAGTGCTATTCTGAGAGCATGGAGTCTGTCTAGACTTGTCATTGCTTTACTTACACCTTGTCAATTGATGCAAATTCTTCATTAGAAATGGAACATTAAAGGCTAAGAGTTATATGTGCTACCCTTTATATAAATTACTGAAGCACCAGACTTGCACACTGCAGTGATAAATTATGCAGTTTGCTCAGTTTTGAGTTTAGCATCTAGGTAGGAACTGGATTATTCTGGGTCAGAGACCAAAATTGTAATATGTTTTGTCAACCTTTCTGCCCTCAGGTATGACCAGTGTGTGAAAAACTCTCCCTCTAAATCACCCAAATTTTGTGAAAGTCTCACAAGAAAATCCCAAATCCTTATATCAGTAGTATTTGATCATTTTCACATAAAAATCTCACAAGATTTGTTTCATAATAAGTTTCAGGTTTATTGGGGGTGACATGCAGGCAACTCATAAGTTATGACCTGCAGTGCTAGATGAACCTGGATAATTGAATCAGTGCTGCTTAAGCAAATCAGCTCAATGCAGAAATAGCTAATTACTAGTATTAAAAAAGGAATAAGAAATCCTGTTTGAGAAGTTTGCTTGCATACAGCTCTATTTTTACCGAGTCTGCAAATCCTGGGAAGAGGAGATAAAATCTTGCAAAAAGATAGTTTAGCTCCTTGGTTTATGATATGAGTTAAAGTTTAAGTATAAAAAGTAACCAAAAATATTTAGGTATACATATTATATACATATAAGCAGTGAGCCAGCCAATTTTATTTTGCATGTGCCTGTGCACATAAACAGATACAATCCTGTAGATATGAGAAGGTTGCAGATCTGTCAGATTAAGGAGGTCAAACAGTGCTTCAACAGTAAAAAGGGCAAAGGGCATTGTAAAATCAGACAAATAATCTATATCATCCTGGTGCAAAGGTCCTTTTACTTCCTGATCAGGCAGATAATAAGGATAGGGGGAGGAACCGCCAACCATTTTCCATACTTCCCTTATTTTACTCTGCTGAAACAAGCCTAGCAGTTTCTGTTTGATTTTTCCATCCCGTCCTCTTTATTGCTCTATTGGTCTATACATAGTTAAAGCACTACTCTGAAAACTGTTTCTGAGAGCTGAAGTGACTGAGGATGAAACATGGGATAGTATAATTGGAAGAGCATTGGCAGAATCTCAGAATGGGAAAGAAGACCAATGGGGTTTGCTCATCTAAAACTCTTTACTGCATGATTCAAACTTGGCTGGGTACGCTTTTTAAATTGGACAAGCGAAATATTTTCCAACATGGATTTCAAGTTACTAATTAAACCCATAATGCTAAAAACAATGAAACAATTGTTCAGAAATGATTGTTTTTGCAAGAATCCTTAACTGAATCTTACCTCAACTCTTGCTTGTACATACGAAATAGGTGGTCTGTGAACAGCAGATGCCATACAGGCCTTCCCCCCTCTTTGGCATGAAAAAATAATTGTTGGTTGGTTTGTTTTTATCCCTGGCCCTTGCTAATACAGATCAGCCAATTGCTTTAGATAAATGCTGATTATGCTCCTAGCAACTAACTGGTGGAACGCTCTGAGGTGCTCGTTTGGGTTTACAAACTTGTATTCCACATTATGCTGACTAACAGCAAGAAGCATTTGGTACAATTCTTATCAAAAACTATTGATTCATTACATGCTTCGATCTTCTATACAAACTTTACATACAATAATAATAGCAGCAGGGAGAAAAAAACCCACAGCATTCAGGGCAGTGAACTGCAACAAGTGCTTAAATCTTAAAGTCCATATACTGTAAACCAACATTTAAATGGTCAGCTCTTACTTCTGTCCCAATTGAGCACCATCCAGGTTCTCCATGGTATGGAACTCTTAACTGGCCTGTCTCTGGACTGACACTCCAGCCAGAATTGTGCTACATGAATTGCATTAATTTTAAGCTACAATTTATGCTCACTTCCTGAAAGTAAACTGTTCTTCTCTACTGAGAAGTCTGAAGGCTTTCATGCTGAAAACCAGAGGCTGAAGGAACACTCAAAATATTTTTTTTGCTGATTCACAAATATGCTCATGTACATAGAGCGAAAGATTCTGTCTCTAACTGTTGTTTGAAGGATTTCTTCTTGTGTTGTTATCTTGGCAAGGAATATTCTTGCACGCAGTAGTTGTTGGCATGCATGAGAAATTCTGAACTGATCCTAAAGCCTTTTTAGACAGCAACACATTAAAATGTAGGATGTTAATTCTTTCTGCACTATCTAATTAATTAAAAAAATCAATTGTACGTCACAATAATAAGAACTGCTAGTTCCATGTCTCTTATGTACTATTTTGGATAGTGAGCAATTTTTAACACTTAATGTCACCAAATAAATGTTTAAAAGAAAATCTTTGTTTTACCTTTCTCAATAATGTATTAGGTAATTTTCTAATTTTCTCCACTTGTTCAGAATTAATTCCCAGCTCACAGCAACACACATTGAGCAGATCTTGGTAAGTCAGTTGTTTTCTGTCCAGTTCAATTTCAATGAAGTCATATTCTTTAGGATTTTGAACTCTTACTTTAAGCACCAATTCTGTGTCTTTATATGGGGAGGAAAACATATATATTCACATGAAATAAATAAGCTCATTAAGAAGTACAGGAACTAAAGTGATAAATTCTCTGTAATCCCCAAATCATTTTCTTTGAACTATGTCCTTCATTAACAGAAGAGAGAAATGATTCCAGAAAATTATGGTTAACAGAAGAGATTAACTGCAGATTAAATTAGGAAACTGGAGATACTGAGGGCAGGGCTTCCCTGAAGAAGGAAATGCCAAATACACTGCTGTATAGTGGCCATATCCATCATTGGGGGTCAAACTTGACTTGAGACAGACTTTACCTTAGCATGTAATGGGAAAATGAAGACCGAAATATAGTGCTGATTGTTATGGCAAACTGATAAGATTGCGGACAAAGGAAAAAGGAATTCACCATCAATACAGGTAGTCCTTGTATTACAACCACAATTGAGCCCAACATTTCTACTACTAAGCAAGACACTTGTTCAGTGAGTTTTGCCCCATTTTATGATCTTTCTTGCCACCATTGTTAAGTGAATCACTATAGTTAAGTTACTAACACAGTTGTTAAGTGAATCTGGCTTCCCCATTGATTTTGCTTGTCAGAAGGTTGCAAAAGGTGATCACATGACCCCTGGACACTGAAATTATCATTAGATACAGGCCAGTTGCCAAGTATCTGAATTTTGATCAGGTGATTGTGGGGATGCTGTAACTGTAATGAAAAACAGTCACAAATGTGAAAAACGATTGTAAGTCACTTTTGTCAGTGCGGTTGTAACTTCAAACGGTCGTTAAATGAATGGTTGTTAAGTCAAAGACTACCTTGAACTCCCAAGGCGCCCTGGGATCCTAGAACTATTGCTGCCTCTCCTAGTGCCCATCCAAACCCTCCTGCTTTATCATGGTTGCTTGCCCATTGGAGGAAGAGCAAACCTGCTAAACAACCTATGAAGAAGAATAAAGAAACATTACTTGAAAAGTTTTCAGTACCATGCATATTGCATGGAAATGTTCCATTGAAAAACAGTGGCTGTAACGCTGACTCTGCCTCCACTGTGGCACCATTTTTTTGGTTAGGCATATGTTGTGTAGATGGACATGAAGTCAAGTGATCTCTGTTCTGATGTGTAGATGAAGAAAATGAGGGACAAGAGCTTTGAACTCTAGACTTTATATCTTCGGATGCTTCTGCAACCACGGATGAAATGAGCTCCTCAACCCAAAAGTGTTTCCCAGGGAGTTCGGTTTCTTTGTGCAAAGAAATGGCCATGCTATTGTTTTCTGCCTGAACTGTTGATAAACAAAGGCTAGTATCACCAGCAGATAAATGAGGTATGGCAGCATTGTTTTCTTTGGGTGGAGCAGCCATAGGAGTGGCATCATCCCCTTTTTGATTGTAAGTCCCTGGAAATAATTCATTGGTTTGATAGTTTGCCATACTCAGCAGCTTTAAGTTATTCACTTCTTGATTATCACCACCTTCCATTTCAGGAGCTATTGGGAGAAAATAAAATAAAACATATTTTAAACCACTACCTCCTATGAGAATAGTTACTCCCATGCTTTCCAGAATCAGCAGAACTAATTATACCTCAACTTCGAGCGACACATTTTAACTGCAAAGGAACAGCAAACAGTTTAAATGCAAGAGAAATACAGGTAGTCCTCGAGTTACGGCCGCAATTGAGACCAACATTTATGTGGCTAAGTGAAACATTTGTTAAGTGAGTTTGCCCCACTTTACGACTTTTTTTGCCACAATTGTTAAGTGAAACATTGCACTTAACTTAGTAATGTGGTTAAGTGAATTCCGCTTCCCCCACTGACTTTGCTTGTCAGAAGATCACAAAAGGGGATCATGTGATCCTGGGACACTGCAGCCGTCATAAATATGAGTCAGTTGTCAAGTATCTGAATTTTGATCAGGTGATTGTGGGGATGCTGCAGAGCCGTAACTGTGAAAAATGGTCATAAGTCACTTTTTCCAGTCCCGTTGTAACTTTGAACGGTCACTAAATGAACTGTTTGTAAGTCGAGGACTACCTGTACAGGACCCACACATGGAGCTACAGTGGCAAATGCTTGGTTAAGAAAAGGAGTCTTGCACTGGTGTATTTTAATTGGAAGCAGAGAATAAAACAGAGAAATATGCCCATGTGTATAACATCCAAATGTCCAACGGCACAGAATTATACCTAAAGTGTCACAGAATGCAATCCAGAAAGCATGCCTTTAGTGTCTGAATGCCCGGCTTATGGAACACCATCCCTCCCCGAGATTCAGAGGCACTGCTGATTGTGCTGGTGTTCAAAAACACTTGGTCATTCCCTCTGGCATCATGCTGAGACATTAAATGAACCAATTGTACCACAGAAGCATGTTACATTGAAAACCTCTGATCATTATATTAATGTTGTTGTGATTATTTTTATCTTCAGGAGAAAGGGTTGATTATTATGGCTTTAATTAACGTTTTCCACCCAGAATCACAGAAGTGAGACAGGGAGCCATATACAAATCACTGAAATAAACAAATGGAAAGATAAAATCACTTTCCCAGGTAGGTTAACTTCCAAGGTAATATTTAGATTAAGGATCCAAGCTTGCGCAAAATGCCAAAAGCATGTTTGGAGTACAGGGCTTTGGTTGCACCTGTGGCATAATAATGGCCAAACATGCCAGGCTGATAATCTAGCCTACAACTTTTCTAACTTATTGAGAAGAGGAACTCATGAGGGGGGAAAAGAATCATAGGGGTGACATTAAACCAATATTTTAATGAAGTTTAACAGTAACATCAGTGAACTCTTTTTAAATTACTTAGACATAAAGCAAGAATAAATCTTTTTTCCTTATCTTACTCCTTCATTATGAACTTCACTGATACCTCAGAATGCAAGCATTATGCTCTAAAGACAGATCCATTTAATATTTTTAGAAAGAAAAATTCAAGTTATCAAGCACACCTCCAAGAAGTTTTCTGATTTCTTTTTTTGAAGTCAGATGTGCTGCCAGATCTCTGTTCTTTGTAAAAATCCCCTTATCGGCTCCATGGTCTAGCAGGTACTTAACTATATGAGTTTGGTTACGCTTGCATGCCCAATGCAAGCACGTCCTATATAAGAGAAAAGTGAATTATCAAGCATTTCTATCACTGTGACAGAGCATATATTACCAAACTACAGCTCCCAGCAAATCTGGCAATGGACAGGAATTCTGTGAACTGCATCTCTGTCTGGCTCCCTGACAGTCATCCAAGAGAGGCTTTTTTGCCACAAATCATCATTTTCCTATGAAGTCAATGGGGGTGCCAGCAGGAAGTCAAAAGTCACAGTCACATTACATTTCACTTTATAACCATGTTGTTTAGCAACTGAGTTGCTGGTGCCAGTAGTGGTTGGTAAGTTAAGGACTATGAGTAGTCCTCAGATTACAACAGCAATTTGAATCAGAATGTCTGTCACTTAGTGCAATGTGACATGACTGTATCACTTAGTAATGGCAATCCTGGCAGCCCCTACCACTATGCAAGTTCTCATGGGTTAAGTGAGCAGTGGTGGGAAGAGGCAGGAATCCAGGCAAGCAGGCCAGCGGACTAGAGCTATAGGCGGGCAGAAGCCACAGGTGGGTGCTATGGAATGTGGGCAGGTGCCAAAGGGACGTGCTACATAGGGCAAGTGCTATGGAGTACAGATGGACATGCTACAAAGCAGCTAGAATGAGATGATTTGGACTTCCCTTCAGTTTCCTCATTGATTTTGCTTATGCCAGCAGGGAAGATTGCAAATGGTGATCACTGCAATTGTAATTTTGAGCCAGTTGTTAAGTTCCAGAATCATGGTCATGTGGAGTGTTGTGATAGCCACACCACCAAGGATCATACCTAAGCTGCTCTAATTCAGCACCGTCATGACTTTGAATGGTCATTAAACAAGTAGTTGTAATCTGAGGACTACCTCTATCTGTATGATATAATCTTGACAATATTGGGGAATTTATTATATAGTGATCCACATTGGAGCCATAAAGCACTCTAAATAAGACAGAATGGTGTTATTCTTAAGAATGGTTGAGATGGGTGGCAACCATATAGATATGGTTAGGGTGAGTAACCACTGTACAGGTAGTCCTTGACTTACAGCCACAACTGAGCCCAAAATTTGTTGCTAAGTGAGACACTTAAGTGAATTTCGCTCCATTTTACGACCTTCGTTGCCAGTTGTTAAATGAATCACTGCAGTTATGTTAGTATCATGGTTAAGTGAATCTGGCTTCCCCATTCTGCTTATCAGAAGGTTGCAGAAGGTGTCCACATGATCCCAGAACACTGCAACCGTCATAAATACATGCCAATTGCCAAGTGTTTCAATGTTGATGCTGCAACGATCGTAAGTGTGAAAAACAGTCATAAGTTACTTTTTTCAGTGCCCTTGTAACTTTGGACGTCACTGCTTTAAGTCAAGATGACCTGTAAGTTATTCAATGCAAATTATCTTCCAGGTGTCCCTAAAATCAAACTTTTTAAGAGTCTCCTCCTTGCTTAAGATCCCAGGAACACATTGTGAGCCCAAAAAATTAGGTGAGAATTCTGCGGCTGGTTTGCTGGTTTTGGTAATCAAGGTGGTTGTTTCCCATTTCACCTCCGGGTGGGAGGTGGGGGACCATAATTAAGCAACCTAGTCTAAGGGAGAAAAAAACCCTCTATTTTTAAGGGAAGGCAGGTGAAGCCAAAAGAAGGAAAATAGTGAGGGTGCTCTTGGAGGAAGCCACACTCCATCCATTTGCACGCAATTCGTTGGAGTTCCAGGGCGAATAAAGGCGAGCAACGGGCATGTTGCTGCACCTTGGAAACGTGGGGAGAGGGGAGCCCTTAGCCGTCTGCCCCTCGTTTGGAGAAACGAAGGAGCCCGGCCCGGAGGCAGAGGGAGAAAGGAAGAGGGGCCCCTTACCAGCCATTGACCTCATTCTGAGCATTCAACGCCACCCCGTTACGGACCAGCATCCGCACCTCCTCGAGATTGCCTAAAGCAGCAGCTTCCCGGAGCCTTTCCTCCAAGTAGCTGCTCATCCTCCCCGTCTCTTTCCCCCCCCCCCACCCCAGCCCTCCGACCCTTAGCGCTTCCCCCGGCAGGCCCAGGAATGCCCCATCCGCAGGCGTCCCCTTGCAGGGAGACGGAGGAAGAGACGCAGCGAGGGAACGAAAAGAGAAGCTGCTGCACCCCTCGCAGCTCTCTCTCTCTCTCTCTCTGTCTCGTCCGCCCGGGATGCGCGAGACTGTCCCGCCGGCTGGAGAGGCGGAGCGCGGGGCCCGCAGCAAATTTCGTTCAGGCAGAGAGGCCAGCGAACAGAAAGTGAGCGCGGAGGGAGGGGGCAGATCGCAGGGCAAATTCGAGAGAAGGGATTCGATGCTCCGTTTCCAGGACAACCAGGGCGGGCCTTAAACGCTTGTAGAACCCGAGCCGAACGACCAGCGGTGGCGGTTGCTTCAGCGAAACGTTGAAGCTTCGCGCAGGGCGAACGTGTCTGAGTCTCTTTCTGTGTCTGATTTGGAGATTTCCAGAACTGTGTACACCATCCCTAAAAATCTGGATTGAATAACTGAAAAGCCAACTAAAATTTTGTCTTCTATTTAATATATAAAGTCTATATGTGTATATATGTGTGTCTGTGTATATATGTGTGTGTGTATGTATATGTATATAAATATAAATATGTGTGTCTATATATGTATATATATACATATACATATACATACACACATAAACACACACACATATATATATATACATACACACACACACACACATATATATATTACAAACTATTCTAAAAATACGAGTTCCAGGTATATTAGTAAAAAAAGAAGCAGACATACTGCGAACTTAAGGTTTTACAATTTTAAAAGAATTACAATTTTATTATACTAAGCTTTCGGCAGCCATCTGCTGACATCGTCAGAGTATTAAACTACCATTACAGATAAACTACCATTGGCATATAAAGGTAGAGAGATCTCTGTAATGGTAGTTTAATACTCTGATGATGTCAGCAGATGGCTGCCGAAAGCTTAGTATAATAAAATTGTAATTCTTTTAAAATTTTAAAGTCTTAAGTTCCGGAGTTCGCAGTATGTCTGCTTCTTTTATGTGTGTGTGTATATGTGTGTGTGTGTGTGTGTGTGTAGGGGTGTGTGTATATATATATATGTTATAAATGTTATAAAGTACATAATATACTGAAAGATGGACTGAAAATGGACTGAAGCAAAAAAAAAGCTGCTCTTTTTGGCCTTTATTTGAAGCTTGTTGAAGCTGCTTGAACCCTAATGAATCACTGCTGTTGTTTAAGTTAGCAACACAATTATGTGAATCTGGCTTTCCCATTGACCTTGCTTGTTACAAAAGTTGATCACATGACCCCAGAACATTGCAGCTGTCATAAATATGTGCAAGTTGTCTGAATTTAAACATGTGACCATGGGATTGCTGCAGTAGTCATAGATGTGAAAAACGGTCATAAGTCACTTTTTTCAGTGCCATTGTAACTTCGAACAATCAATAAACGAATGATTGTAAGGCAAGGGCTATCTGTACTGATTTCATGCCATTTAGGCAGTGATCTTAATGAATCCCACTTACTTCTACTTCAAGGAATCAGTTTCTGTTGTGTTGGAAGTAAGTCGTCTTAAACCATGAGAGGGTTTAATCCGTATGGCCAAATACAGATACAGCTTTGGGCAGTAAAGCACAAAAGTAGGCCAGAGCAGTAATACTTTGGAGGAAAAAAAGTTTGTTATTTCAAGGCAGTGTTCTCCAAAATTACAATTTAAAATAAAAAGTTTAACAGCAATCTTGTAGTTAAAAAAATCCAAAAGATACATAAGATTCCATTTTTATGCTTTGAATTTCATTTAAAAAAATTAAATGGCTGAGCTTTAGTGTAAATCTGAAGATCAGTAGTTTTAATAATTTCAAATGCTGCAATATCACTTCATTTGTTTTGAGTTTATTTTTCTTGCAGTGCCAAAACAACTTTGAGAAGCATATGTTAAGCAGCAGTACACTGAAATGGAAAAGTTCAAACGTTACTCCTCACCATTGCCTTTAAAAAGTCTATTAAATTTTTCTTTTGTTGTTTTGCTTTTTTTAAAGTCATACCAAATGCCACTAGACATTCATCAGTGCAAATGATGTCTTATTCAAAAATCCGACTGGGGATCAATTACATTTATTTCCAGGTAAATGACTAGGGCTATAAGCTAAAATACCATGGCCACAATAGAAAGATGGGCTATGGAAGCTTTAAATATTTTGTCCAACGGTGGAATTTTCCAAATTAACACTGAATGCCAAATAAAAACTGCTGCAACAGTTTTCCATAATATTCACATTTGAAGTTTTTACTGTTTTCTACACACTATACAGTTCTCAGTTTAAGAGGGCCAGAATCAAAAGTGTTATTGACCTATCAGTTTAATCTCTGATTGAGAGCAGCTGAGGGAAGAAAAATATGGAGGAGGCTTAATTTGTGTTCTCACTTGTGAACAATGCAGGGTATTTTTGCTCTCCAGTTACACATACCAATACACTGCCGTATCCACTAAATGCAGTTCCATACCAGCTGCAATAATTTAGGAGTATTTTTCACCTTTACCTAGAGAAGCAAAATATTGAATCTCGGATTTTTTTCATTGGACTATGATGATAGTGGGCACAGTGGTTAAGATGTACTAGGAATTAGAGAAGAAACCATGGTTTAAAGCTGGCCTCAACCCTTGAAATTCACTGAGTGACTTTGGGCCAGTCATTCTCTGCAGATTGTGAGACATTCTGGAGACTTCTGCAAACTTTGGTTGTGGAAGGAGAATTATTTGTGCTCCTGAAGGGCGAAAAAGGATTTAAAATGTAACAACTAAATACTATATATGCACTATTCTTTAAAAATGAAGCATAGGCTGCCTTCTTTCCTTCTGAAAATAGAAAATCATAAATGCAACAGTTATGCACATCTTTAGCAAAGATATGCATCAATGACACAGAATGCCATAAACTAGGTAAAAACTATGATGAGAGTCAGTGTGATAGTGGTTAAGATGTCAGACTAAGATGTCAGGTTGCAAAGAAATTTAGGGTTCTAGTCTGGAGGTGTCCAACCTTGGCAACTTTAAGACTTGTGGACTTCAAGTCCCAGAATTTCCTAGCCAGTCATGCTCCCTGGGGAGTCCTGGGACTTGAAGTCCACAAATATCCTTGTTAAACTGCAATATAAACTATAGAGTTGCTATCAAAACACAACAGGAGCCAAACTGATGCTGTGGAAGAAACATGTAGAAATTGTTTTCTACATCTGGCAGAATTGCAAAGCTTGGTGTCATGCCACTAGAGGTCACAGTAGAACAATGAAAAGAGTGTTTATAATATGGTAGTTTCTGCTAAAATAGTATGTTCTGTTTATGCCTTTTTTTGAGGTAAACTTATGCTGAAAACACTTTGCAAATGTAATCATTATGGTGCTATATATTGTAAAACTGATGTCAAGATGATTAGAGCTTTAGAGAGAACTCAAGCAGGCTTAGATGAGGACTGAGGTAGGTTGGGAATAGCCTGGACTTCATAGCTTCCTGAATGTTAGCAGGTTGAGAGCCATGATCCACACGTCTTTTTGTTCTCAATTTTTCCTTTACAATTGTGCCTTCGGGACCTCATTTAGCTGGACACTTTTCTCCATCAGAATTTCAAATTGTTGGATCTGAAATACTGTGGTTGGTTTCATCAAAATCTATTTTGAAATGCAATATAAAACTCTGACTCCCCCATTTTCCTCTTTCCTTAACCTAATGAATTCAATGATGTGATGGGTTCCAAACACCTTTACTTCTTCAACCAAGATCCTGAATTAAATCCAAGATAGCAGATCTCCCTTGATCTGTCTTCTAACTTCTGACATAAAATTGTCAGCAAGAGAAGTCAGAAAGGAGTTTGGAAGAGTTAAATTCCCAACAGATATCAAAGTAATTGAAATCTCCCATTTTCAGATTGTGTGTGTCATTGAAATTTTAGTCATCTAATGGAGAAAGCACTTATCCATGCCTTCTGTCTATAAAGGCAATTTAAAATAAACTCCCCCAGCAATATTACATTTGTTTCATTGTCCTCTTATTCATACCAGAACTCTTTTAACAACATTTCTATGTTTTCTTGATATATAATGTAACATTTCCTCCCTTTCTGTAGATTCTATTTCTTTTAAATAACTTGTGATCTTCCAGGGTTATGTTCCAATTGTGTATTGCCACTCCAAATTTCAGTGACGCCTTCGTTATATAATATTTGCTCTCCTGTGTTAGGATTTCAGGTTCTGTTTGCTTCCCACACTGGTGTAGATATATCTGGGATTGTGAGTGGCACCTCTTACTACCTTCACTGTTGTAATGTTATGCTGATCTCTAATTCCCTTTCAGTCTACAGGCTCCATCCTTTGTCTCCTGCACTTTTGGCTTCAGTCCTTGACTGCATATTTTATTTTGGACATTCCCCCTTTTAGTGTAGTTTAATAGTCTCTTGATAAGCCCTGCAGAACACTTCCAAGTCTATGTGAGTCTGTTTTTTTGGCAGGACTTCTTCATGTAGATAATGCAGTCCATGGCTGAGAAATCAAAATCTTCTCACCTTATACAGAACTAGTTTATTCCCAGGAGCCTGTTTTCTGTTCTTATGCTATAATGCTCAACTGGAAGAAGGATCAATTAAGACACTACTTATGTTCCCAGTTTCTTTACATCCTAAGGGGGGGGGGGCGTAGGGGGGTTATTGTTTCAGTGATCCATTCAAGTTCTTTTCTGGCATTCAATCCCATATGAATCAGTAGAAACAGATATTGTAGTTATTGGTGGATTTGGAGAATCTGTTCATTGCATCCTGTATATGGGCAGTTGAAAGGCAATAAATCGCTCGTAATATCTTATTAGGTCTGCATGCTATGGCCTCTGTTCCTGTTAGTAGGGGATTATCCATCACCACAATGCAATACACCCTTAATGAGTTGCTATAGTATTCACATTAGTGCTAT